TGTAGCACACTCACTTCAACTCGTGCAATGAGGTCTAGCTCAGAGTGCGGCCAGCGACTTATTGCTTAAGCATAGACAACCAAATATCAGGGGAAGCTCCGTGTTCAATTGCGGCAAGTGCTTGGGCAATAACCACCTTGTCCTTTTTTGTTTGAGCTCTGAGCTTACAGACCATCCATAGGGTCAAAACTAATCCACAGCAAATCGCAGCTCCAAACAATCCAACCCCAACCCATTCTTTAAAGACAGAGAAAGCCGAAGTTATCCATGTGGAGAGCCCCTCCATAAATGACAGGTCCAGATGTGTAGAGTTGACTTGTATGATGGCAGTTCTCAATTCTCTCAGGGTTTGCTCAAACTCTGCAGTCTAATTCTGTAATATGAACTGAGATAGACTTTTTGACAGGTTAGCGGCTCTGGTAAAATTTTCATATTGTACCGAAGTGACACATAGTCCGGGAAGCTTTTGTTCACATTCCAATTGAGCCAGCTGCCACAGCACATCTAGCTGCTCTTGGACCAGGTCAATGCGCTGATTGACCAGCATAAGACCGCCCTGTATTTGGGTATAGCGGAGGCTGTAACAGAGGCAGCTACTGCAGCGGTAGCAACAATGCCCACAATGACGGCAGATATGCCAAAATCTCTTTGCTCTAAACAAAGTCATGCTCCCAGCAGATTTTACGGGGACAGGCACAAAGCGGGGCATGCGTGTGACCACAGTCACAGGATATAGTTGGGCATCCCAACATAGGGTATAAAAACAGCCTTCCAAATCACAATCTAAACTTTCATTAAAACCCGATGTAGTACTATTACTAACTATCCATATAAAAGGTGGCCAAACACACACAGGAGAGGGAGAGTATGATTCTGAGGCAAAAGGTGTGTATTTGACGTGATCCATACTCCACTTTGATGATCCTGAACTTTGACCCCTACTTAGGGCTTGTCCAAGGGATCCTTTCCAGTCATATTCCAATTGTCCTTTTTCTCCTTTCCCCCCTCCAATCATGACCATGGGTGTCAAGTCTGTGCAACTTCCGTTAACCCCACACAAAAGCCATTGATCGAAGGGATTTGAATTAACTGTATCGAGGGACTGATTCACGAAATCCTCCCCCAGATTGGGTGAAAAGGAGAACACATCTGTGACAGCCCATATTGTATCCCTGGATTGGCACCCAGTCCATGGCAGGGCAAGATTTTTTTTTTTCCGACGTGCCTTTACAGAAGGGGGCCATTTTTGGTTGATTAGGTATAGTTGTGGTGTGGGATACCTTAGGCCTAATAGGCCACCATCCATAAAGGACGGAGGCGTTGGCCACTATTTTCCCTGTATGACCCCAACTAGCTTCCTTTTGCCATGCTGCCGATTGGTTTTTCAAGATTATACAATCTGAATTTAAATCAGCGTTCTCCCGATTACTTTGTATGATGAAGCAGAGGCTCGCTTTTAATGGTATAGATCTATTTTCTTTTAGTTGTTGAATCTGGGTATCTTTTGGTAAATAGGCCAAACCCAGATCTTTGCTGGTAGAGAAGAATCTAGGGAAAACCTGTGCATCATACATCACCGGCATCAGAAGTGGGAACGTTGACATGATTCCCCAACGATATTCTCCTATCGTGAGTGTCATCATTTTTAGTACTATAACCGGGCGAATCCACATCTTTATCGTCTGTTTCTTCCACTGACTCCACGATCCTTCTGGTAAGTCTTTCAGGTATCCAGAATGGGTTGTTTTCACCCTGTGGAAAAACACAAACGGCTCCCCTGGATCTCATAAGGATAGGAACCGGTCCTTTCCATGTGTTACACAAAACATCCTTCCATTTCACCAGTTCTTTTGGTCTATTAGGTTCTGTATAATGTCTTTCTGCCGCAGTTTGGCCTTTGTCATCCAAATTCAAAAAATTTAGAGTAAAGAGTGCCATGGATACGGCCACTCTTGGTATTAAGGGGAGAACATCCTCTATTCCCCCTTTTTGTTTTATAAAATAAAATTTTAGTGTGCGGTGGGCACGTTCTACAATTCCTTGTCCTTGAGGATTGTAAGGGAGACCAGTCAGATGAGTCACGTTCATCTGATGGCGGAACTGTTTAAATTTTTGGGAAGTATATGCAGGTCCATCATCGGTCTTGAGGACCTTAGGCATTCCCCAAGCACTCCAGGCCTCAAGGCAGTGTTGTATCACATGTGAGGCCTTCTCACCTGTTAAAAGAGTGGCACAAATGATACCCGAGCATGTATCAATAGAAACATGGAGATACTGAAGTTTACCAAGAGAAGAAACATGGGTAATATCCATCTGCCAGACTTGTAGAGGTTTTATACCTCGTGGATTTATGCCCACACGGGGTGAGGGCAAGAATTCACAACAATTTTTGCACTGAACCACAATATCCCTGGCTTCTTTCCTAGTTATAGAAAAGCGACGGCGGAGAGTTTCAGCCATTACATGGAAATTCTGATGAAATTTTTTTGCTGCCTCTGCTTGAGAGGATAATGCAACAGCCACAAGTCGAGTAGCCTTATCTGCTAAGTCATTACCCCGTGACATGGGACCGGGTAGACCCGAGTGCGCCCTGACATGAGTAATATATACAGGAGATCTATGTTGTAAGGCTAACTGTATTTGTTGAAAAATAGAGGCAACTCTACTAGATGGCTTAATGACTCCTGCGGCTTCCAGTAACTGAACAGCATTTACCACATAGCAGGAGTCTGACACAATATTTAAAGGTTCAGGAAAGGTTTTTAAAACTTCCAAAACTACTAAGCACTCTACCACTTGAGGTGAGGTCTCTTTATAATCTTTAGAAGTTATTATATCATTTACCACATAGGCACCGATTCCTGTTTTAGAACCATCTGTATACACGATAATTCCATTTTCAATTGGGGATCTAACCGTCATTTGTGGAAACACAACAGCTTGATTTAATGCAAATTGTAAAATAGGATGTTTTGGATAATGGTTGTCAATATGTCCGGCAAAGGAGGTAATCAAAACAGCCCAATCATTAGAAGTAGCCGCCAAAGTCTGAATTTGAGCAGCGGTGTAGGGTACAATTAAAAACCTAGGTTCTCGCCCGAAATGGGTAATTGCCAACTTTATTCCTCTAAGTGCTAATTGTGCAACAGCATTGGGATACCAATGTATAATTTTTGCAGGGGATGCATTTGGATGAACCCACAATAGTGGTCCATCCTGCCACAACACAGCAGTTGGCATTTGAGATGTATTAAAGACACATAGGTTAAATGGTTGCGTATGATCAATGCGTTGTAACTGTGCATTCTGTAAAGATGTCTCTACCTTTTGCAGGGCTAGGCTAGCTGCAGGAGTAAGAGTTCTTAGAGAGGAGATATGAGGGTCCCCTTCCAGGACATCAAATAAAGGCTTTAGTTCAGCAGTGGGAATCTTTAAAAAGGGTCAAAGCCAGTTAACATCTCCTAGCAATTTTTGAAAGTCATTTAAAGTACAGAGATGATCTCTTCTTATTTCTATCTTTTGAGGTGTTACCTTCGTGGGGAATATCACGGAACCCAAAAACTGTCCGACATCCCCAAATTGTGTTTTGTCTGTGGCCACGTGTAATTCCCAACATCTAAGGTTTTTTAATAAGTGGGAATAGGCCTTTTGAAGCAACATTAAATTCTTGTGGCACAAAAGAATATCATCCATATAATGGAGCAGAGTTAGGGAGGGATAATGCTCTCTTAACGATTGCAAGGCACCCTGAACATAAAGCTGGCACATAGTGGGACTGTTAGTCATTCCTTGTGGCAGGACCTTCCATTGATAACGTCTATCAGGCTCTGCATGGTTAATGGAGGGAATGGTAAAAGCAAATCTAGGTCTATCCTTATAAAACAAGGGAATGGAAAAAAAAGCAATCCTTAATATCAACAACAATTAGGTTCCATCTCTTAGGTAAGGCAGATAATATAGGAAGACCTCTTTGTACGGGGCCAAACATGTTCATTTGTTCATTAATAGCCCTTAAATCATGTAATAACCTCCATTTACCCGATTTTTTCTTAATTACAAAAATTGGAGTGTTCCATGGAGATGTAGATGGTTCCAAGTGACCCAGATCTAATTGTTCTTTTACCAGTTGAGTCACTGCTTCTAACTTTTCAGAGGATAGTGGCCATTGAGGAACCCACACAGGGTCCTCTGTTTTCCAAGGTATGGGTCGTGCTGCCCCAATGGCTCCTAGGAAAAACCCAACCCCTGTCGGGTCTGGTTTTTTGTAGGTGAGATAAGTTCTGTTCTTCCTTGTTCATTTTTACCCAACCCTTTTCCTGCTTTGTATCCCATTTTTGACATAATGTCCCTAGCCTGTAAGGAGTATCTTTCAGGAGAGACAAACTCATTAGACAGGGTTAAACCCATATTTTGCATAATATCTCTTCCCCAAAGATTAACTGGAAGAGGAAGCACGTACGGTGTAAATTTTCCTTGCAGGCCTTCTGGGGTCTCCCATAGTAGGGCAGCAGAGCTAATTGAAGGGCAGGATTGATATCCTAAACCCTGCAAAGAATGAGATGACTGAGTAACAGGCCAGGTTTTGGGCCACCAGTAGGAGGAAACAATGCTCTTATCAGCTCCTGTATCAAGAATACCTTCAAAAGTTTTTCCGTTGATTTTGAGATGGAGTTTGGGTCTCTCATTTAAAGAAACCATAAGGTAAGCCGAATCGGTGCCTGAGGAACCCATTTTGGTGTTTTTTGATTCATAAGTTCCTCCGTTCATATTGGGGAGGAGCAACAACTGAGCAATTCTATCTCCCTTAGAGATGGAGAAGACTCCTTTTGGACTTGAACATAAAATTTGGATTTCTGTGGAATGTTGATTATCCACAATCCCAGGATATACTATTAGGCCTTGAAGGGTAAGTGCGCCTCGACCCAATATAAGGCCAACAGCTCCCGGGGGTAAGGGTTCTATGGCCTCTGCAGGAACTGGTTGAACACTCATTTGTGGCATTAATAGGAAGTCGGAGGCGGCACACAGGTCCACTCTTGAGGAGTGTCCTGAGTCGTCTCTCTGTTGTCCTCCTGGGCTCTGACAAACCGGTTCCCATATCTTTGAGGGCCCTGGGACCGAGGGCCCGACAACCCGTTTTTTGACGGATCGGCAGCTTGATTAACAGCCTGACTGTTTATAGGCGGGAGGAGCCTCCCCTGAAGATCCCTCACCGAGCGGCATTGACTAGCTTTATGATATCCTTTGCCGCAACGGTTACATATGGTTGGTGTCTCCCTTTGTTTATTTGAACTCCTGCAGTTCTTTTTGAAATGACCAGGTTTACCACAGTTGTAACAAGTCTTTTGATTAGTCTTATCGGCGGAGCGTTTTTGGGATTGGAGGATGGCAGCCGCTAGGCCTGCATTGGTAAGTGGTCCCCCAAGGTCTCTACACTCTCTCAGCCAATCTTGTAGCTCCTTGTTTTTTCTGGGGGCTATGGCGGCTCTGCACTCTGGAGTAGCTTGTTCAACTATTAACTGTTCAACAAAAGGTTGAACCTGATCTACATCTCCAAAAATTCGCCCTGCGGCCTCTGTCATTCTGGCCACAAAGTCTGAAAATGATTCTTGGGGCCCCTGTATAATCTTTGTGAGAGGCTGATTATTTTCTCCCTTGCGTGGTAGTGCCTTCCACGCCTTAATAGCTGTTTGGGAAACCTGGGCATAAGCTCCAAAAGGATAGTTTGTCTGGTCCGTGGTAAATCGCCCTTGACCTGTCAGCCTCTCAAAATCCCAATTTCTTTGTTCGGGGGTGAGGGCAGTGGCGTTCGCTTGAGCTTGCCTTTGGGCAGCCTCAAACCAGAGAGCTCTCCATTCCATGTACTGACCCATATTTGGGAGAGCAGCCTTTGCCACCATCTCCCAGTCCGCGGGGGTTAAGGCATTGTTGGCGAGCCTTTCCACTAATACCACGGTAAAATTTGCATTAGCCCCATATTTTTGGACTGCTTCAGCCAAATCTTTTAATTGAGTGTAATCTACAGGTGCATGTACCCGTCCGCCATTTTCTGTTTCAAAAACCGGAAAAGCCATTTGAATCTTTTTTCTAACCTTATCTGGTACAAAAGAAAATTTTGGTGATCGCACCTCATAAGGCGGAGGGGCAGTAGGCACTGTTTGTGGACGGGGGGGGGGTATTAGAAAATTTTGTGTTTAATTTTTGCCCATCCGGGTGGTATCTCTCTTCCTCATATTTGGCCGCCTCCTCATCCAATTCGGCCTCTTCCTCTGAATTAAGAGTATCAGTGTCAGAGGAACTAGGATTGGAGCTGTTAGAACTATCGAGGGTTAGCGCTCTCAGCTCCTTTACAGGGTAAAGTCCTTGTGATTTTTCCTCAAAAGGAGATTGGGACTCTCCAGAGGATTGCTCTCCTTTTCGAGGAGGGTTCTTAACCTTTTTATTTTTACAGGTTTCTTTTTTCTTGGGCGCACCCAACCTCTCACTACGCTCGGTTTCTGATATGCTGTCCTGAACCCCCTCGAGGACGACCTGTCCCTCAGATACTGCCTCTTTACAATTATTATCTCCTAGGCAATTCTTAACAAGTTTCCAGATTGCCTTAGTACCTAATCTCAAGTCATTGTTTGCTAAGTGGCGGTCAAGATCTTTCCCTAACTTATTGCACAACGCGATCGTGAGGGACCCCGAGCATGCATACCACGGGGCCACCCGATCCACCTCCTTTACAAAATTTTTAAGAGTCCTATGTGCTATCTTAATGTCCCGTTGTTTTAGTACTGCCTCTAGGGTGGTTATTACTGACTGTGTAGATCCCATGATGGCTGCAGCTTATCTACGTCTGCCTTATCACCACCAACAAAACGAAAGTAAAGCTACCGCGCCTGCGGCTTATCTACGTCCGTCTTATGGGCTGCGCTTTATCCACCCAAAGGCTCCTCCTGTTACTCCTTTATCTACAGGATATTTACAACAGGGTTTTTTGAAGGTCCCACCGCTCATGTACCTCGGTCTTACGGGCACCTTCAGTCTAACAAATAGCCACCGCGAAAACAAATGACTAAGAGAAGCACAATTATGACAGTAAATAGCACAGCAAAGATCAGTCCAAAAATTTCAGAAATATGCATACCTTTCCGAACTCACCTTTCCCTGCAGTTCTGAATCCTCCCTGAAGTCAAGGGGTCTCCGAAGGTGCTGACCATGGAGTGGTCAATTCCCGGGTTTCGGCACCAGATGTGACTCGCGCTACCGTCTCGCCAGCAAGAACGACGCGATACACACAGGATCCTTCTGCAGTAAAGCTTTAATGCATTCTGAGAGGGAGAGCAAAGCTTACGGCAATCAAAAGCGGAGACCCCGGACAACGAGAAACCCATCCCTTATATAGGAAACTGCTCTCCGCCTAGGACGTGTCAGTCCCCAATTGGAGGTCGCTCATCGCCCGTTATGACGCCACGGGAGAGGCAGAGCACAGACTGTGGAAAGTCCCCTTGCACATGCGCAAATTACCTTTTGTCTGTTCAGAACATAGGAAATCAGCGCCATCTTGTAATGGCAACAGTGAGTGCGGCTCCTCACAGATGGGTGAGTTGATGCTGATTGAATGCCACACTGTGGGTTATCTTCTCACCTCGGAAACACAATCGCTTGTGTTTTAGGACTAAGAGTTCTGTCTGCCAGTTTCTGTGCAGATCCTGCTGTGCTTCTGGTCAGAAAGAGTGTCCTCCCAGTGCCGCCATCTTGGATCCCCTCCCTAGCTGATTCTCATTGATTGTTGCCAGGTAGATTGTCTCTATTTTCTATCAAGTATTATTCTGTGATATTTCCTGGAGGCTGTTGCTAGAAGAATTAATTTTGTTTTCTGCCAAGTGCACATTCTGTGATATTTCCTGGTACCTGAGTTCAGCTCTCAGTCAAGATGGCTCCTCATTTCAAAATGGAGCCATCCAGGCTAACTTAAACTCTTCAACTTGAAGGTGCACTCACTCGAAGGCATATGTGGGAAGCACAGGGGGCTCAGTTTTCTACTCTCATATTTGGGCCCACAGGGGCAAATGAAAGTGTAAGAGATCCATCAGCTCAGTGGTGTCCACTGTTTGTCCACTGGGCAAGGAGACCCATACTTGGGGCAACCACAGTCTGCCACAGCCACAGACCTGGGAGGCCCATACCGCTGCTGGCTCTGCAGTCTCAGTCACCAAGCATGGAGGCTTCTGTTTGGGGAAGCCACCACCTGCCACAGCCACAGACCTCAGAGTCCCATACTGCCCTCTCATTCACCAAGCCAGTGCTTGGGGCAAGGGAAAGTGCAGGGGGGTTGAATATTTGCCACTCTCAGGCCCTGGAGACGTCCAAGGGTGAACTGGATTCAAACTGGCCCAGGTCATGGGTTGTCCCTGTTATGCCTAGATTATGAGACCCCCAAGAGACCACCAGGAATATGAGTCTGATGCAAAAACACACAGGCCTTTATTCAAACTTGAGCTTGGGCCATCAATTGTCCCTGATATTCAGAAAGAGGGTCCCCAAGCCTCAGTAGGGAAGAGTTTTAAAGGGAAAAACCGCAAGTAGGGAATTCCAAGCCTTGGCGTTACAGGATTGGGTGAGGGTTTAGCAAGCGAGATAACCTTTAAGCTGATTGGTTCTGGCCAGTTGGCCAAATTGCCAGGGGCAAACAGGATATCTAAAGAAAACATTTTGACCTGTGCTAGTGTGTGTACTTTTATTTCATTGGTTGGCCCCAGGTGCAGGGCCTAATTAGTCTTGCCAAGTTCCTCCTGTGGGCCTATCTGCTCTTGCCTAGATCCTCCTGTGATTTTTCACCTGCCATGTTCCTGGAACTGAGGTGGGAGAACTTGGGACACCTAAAGGACAGGGCCATTCAAAATCATGTCTGAAAAACAAGATGGTGTTAATTATGCTCTTTCTCTCTCATCCCCTCTTACCCAGGAAGCCTTAGTGTTGATGTTCTGGCTTCAGCTGCCCCTCACCCACCAATTTTGGAGTTTCTGATACTGTGCCACTCAGATACAGTGCATGATGGTAGTTGCCATCTTGGACCTCCCTCCTTTTCTCTTTTTCTTTTTCCCACCCTCCCCTGCTCTTCAGAAAAGGGGAGCCTCCTCCCCACCACTCCACTCCAGCACATCAAGTCACTTCAGGACTGAGCACATCTGAATCTTCTTCCCCTGTGGCTTGGTGAGGCAGCCCTACCAGGGGGAAGTGATTGAAAAGCAAGCACCATAATCCATGTCAGATCAGCGCCTGCTTCCCCTACTAGTGACTAGGGAACCTGCATGAAGACTGAGCTACATCTGTGTCAGGGGCCGAGGTCTAGTCCATGCATGGTCTTTGGTTGGTGCATCAGTCTCTGCAAGTACTTCTGGTCCCAGGTTGGTTGGCTCTACTGGTCTTCTTATGGGGCTCCTGTCTTCTCTGGGTCTTTCTATTTTTTCCCCCACCCCAACTCTTCCACCAGACTTGGGACACTCCACCCAGTATTTGGCTGTGAGCCTCAGCTTCTTGTTCCATCCTTTGCTGGGTGGAGCCTTTCAGGAGACAGCTATGCTAGGCTCCTATCTGAAAGCATAGCAGAGTATTGTGAATAGCATCAGGGGTTGGTTCTCTCCCATGGGGGTGGGTCTTAGGGTGGGCCAGACATTGTTTGGACATTTTCTCAATCTCTGCTCTAGTTTTATCCTTGTATACCTTGTAGGCAGGGAAAATTTTGGGTCGAAGTTTCAACGTCCTTAATCATTAGGGAAATGCAAATCAGAACAACTCTGAGATTCTAGCTTATACCCATCAGAATGGATAAGATTAAAAACGTGAGTGACAGCACATGCTGGAGAGGATGTGGAGAAAGGGGAACCCTTCTCCATTGCTGGTGGGAGTACAAACTTGCACAACCATTTTGGAAATCAATCTGATTCTTTCTCAGAAAATTGAGAATAGCTCTATCATAAGACCCAGCTATACCGTTCCTATGCATAGACTCAAAAGATGCTCCACCCTACCAGATGGATACTTGCTCAATTATGTTCACAGCAGCTTTATTCATAATAGTATGAAACTGGAAACAACCCAGATGTCCCTCAACCAAAGAATGGATGAAGAAACTGATACATGTACACAATGGGATACAAATCAGTCATTAAACACAAGGACATCATGAAATTTTCAGGCAAATGGATGGAACTAGAAAATATCATCCTGAGTGAGGTAACCCAGACCCAGAAAGATACACATGGTATGTTTTGGAAATTTTGGCTTATGTTATGTAAATATGTTTTTGTTATAATCTCAAGTGTGGGGTTTAGTTTGTTCACAGCTGATTATTGCTTACTGCAGGGGTGTGGTCTTTGCCAGCAGCAATTAGTTGAATTCTAAGGAATTTGAGGGGTATAAATATGATAGTCCTGAGGAAGAAGGTGTAGTGGCTTGGAAGAGGTAGAGGAGGGCTGTACTTTAAAGGAGATGTTTATCAAACAAAAGGAAGAGTATCTCCTTCCCCCAGGATCCAACTAAATAATGCTTTGTTGACTCTACATTTTCTTAATGTTGGTGAAAAAGAGACACTGGTTATAGAAAAAAAAAACTGTAGAATTAGAACTCATTTATTTCAAGGACGTGGTGACAGTATAAAACCTGCCATAGTTTTGAGATGGGAATGTGGTTATGCTAATGTATCTGCAGGGAATGAAAAAAAATATGGTTAGGTTATCAACAAAACTTACAAAGATTAGATCTGACCAGGGAAGATCTCCTACTAGCTGAGACATGAACATCTTCACATGGTAAATTAACCTTTTTGGCTACATGGTATTCATGATGCAAAAATGTACCTATATTACCTTTAAAAAGTTTGTTTTCAGAGCAAAAGACCAGATACCTATGAAGATAAAGTGAGTAGCCTGGGTGATTCCACCTCACAGACTGCCTCAGTTACTGTTTCCTCAAGAATCTACATTAAGGTTAAATTCAGAAGGTCTAGCTCAAATGATCATCCCACAGAGACTAGACAGAAAACTCAAAGGCTAGACAAAAAAAACAAAACAAAACAAAACAAAACAAAAAAAAAACACAAAACAAACAAACAAAAAACAAAAAACAAAACAAAAAACAAAACAGATAGTGGACTGAAAACACAGAGATTAGACAGAAGATACAGAGACTGAAAAAAAAAAAAAGTATAGCTAGATTTTCCAGTGCTTGGCCTAAGTTTTTAAGGTACCGAAAGGATGTTTTTTTTTTTTTTTCCCCCAAGACAACAAAATATAATTTATGTTGTTGGTCATTTGGTGGGTTATGGAATGGCCATAATAAGGGAGAAAGCAAAGTCAAAGTCAGGGATCTCTTTCTTTATTCTTCTTTATCTTTTTCTCTTATTTTTCTCCTAGTTAGTGTTAAGGGAAAGGAGATAAAAAAAAGGGTATAAAAAGGGGGAGTTTAGGATGATAGAATAAAAGGTAAATTATTGAATATACTTGTGTCAAATATATATTGGTATGGATTACTGAATATTGATAGAAATTTAAGATTATTTTGATCAACTTTTGATTAATGTATTATACATATGTAACTAATTTATTGTACATTGATAAAAATTTAAGATTGTTTTGTTCAACTTTTGCTAAATGTATTGTATGTATGCAATGCCTTTATTATATATTGATATAAATTTAAGATTATTTTGATCAACTTTTGCTTAATGTATTGTACTTATGCAACTCACTTGAAAATGGGTAAATTTTTAGTCTTATGAAACTAATGCAAACTGTTCAAGGTGATTGGAGATGCAAATTAATAGTTTTCTGTAATCTCACTTTCAGTCTTGTTAGATACTAGTTTAATTACTGAAATAAGCTTTATTTAGTCTCTTGTATATGTTTTTAAGGTTAGGTAGATAGTACATAGATAGATAGATAGATAGATAGATAGATAGATAGATAGATAGATA